ACAGCAGAAGAAGACAGACAGGAAGTAAACACTAAAGGGAACAGCAGAAGAAGACAGACAGGAAGTAAACACTAAAGGAAACAGCAGAAGAAGACAGACAAGAAGTCAACTTTGACAGTACATGACCCCTGCGTTTTCCTGTAGAAAGCCTATTTGTGAGTTCGTTTTCACTCTCTTGACAAACACTTCACGTCTAAAGCGACGTCGCAGAGGCAGGTTACACTGGACTATTGAAACAGGAATTTCTTAAGGAGTGGCTTTCTGTTCACACACACACACACACACACACACACACACACACACACACACACACACACACACACACACACACACACACACACACACACACACACACACACACACACACAAGACAAAGGCAGTGTGCAATATGAAACTGGCCTACCACGGCGGCACAACAACTATGAAAAGTCACCTGAATGCTGTAAGTAGTAGCTTAGCTTAGTTGTTGTCCAGTTGCCATGACGCAGTTGCTTTATCCGCCGTTCAAACAGTAACCTTACACATGATAGAAACGAGCGCGCGCCGAATATTCGCTGCTGATTAAAAGGGTGAACAGAGTTGGACAGTGATGGAAAACCGCAATAACAATGTTTTAATCAATATTGTGTGTCTAATTATTGATTCATTTGGAAAGTAGCCATGTAATAAGCAGGGTAATATGCAGTAATCCAGCCACTGTTGGGGTTTCTTTCATTTTATCCCTTATTTCTTTCATCCCTCGCTCACACACACACTCTTTCATGCCTTTAACATTCAAAGCGTCACTTTAAAGCACACACACACTTCCTCACACAGTGAACTGAGATAACTGGGTTTTATCTGGTGTGCAGAGGTTTCTGACCTATGAAGGAGCGTCTCTTGGTGCTGAGTTCAGTGGCCGTGCGGACGTTTGTGCACAGGTTCAGCATGATGAGCATGGTGAAGATCATGATGATGCTCTGCCACAGCAGCAGCGTCTCGAAGTAACGGCCAAATCTGATGGAGGAAGACAAAATCACACGTTAATTTACAATGCAACATGCGGCAGCTTTTATAACGTTATTTAACACCTCCAAAAAAGGTACCACTGGACTTTTTGTCAACTTCCTGTCCTAAAAGAGCCATATTGTCTTTGCCCACCTGTAAATAATCCCAATAACTTAGTGAATACAATCAATTTAAGACATTTTATAAATAATTAGCAAGCATAATTTCATTTGACATGCTTTCAATGCACCATCTGCTGGTATTCGGTTATTTTAGTACTGCCTTGGGCTAGTGGATAATCTGTTTTACATAATTGTGTCCATTTCAGAATTTGCTGCAATTCAATGAAAGCTTATGAGGTGATGCTTTTTAAGCCGAACTATAGAGAATATTTCACTGATTCCTAAAACATCCCAACGTTTGTTATATGTTCCGTATAATTAGATTTATAAGCAAAAAAAGTGTTAAAATAGCAGATTGTTGGATGAAGATTTGCAGCTGTTACATAACTGATGACATCTGTGAGTTGTTAATCTGTTGGTCATGTGTCTCTGCCTCTTTAGTATGTTACAGCACATGGAAGTTTAGGAGATTTTTGCATCCAATTCAACAGCTGCTGCTCAATGGAAAAGAGGCTTTAAGGACCATCTTTTTCAAGCCGAATAATAGTAACTATCCCAGTGACCCTTACTAAAACTAAAATGTTGATCTATTAAAAATACAGTTAGATTAATCGTCAAAAAAGTATTAAATATGCAGATTTTTGAATGCAGGTTTGCATCCAATTGAACAGCAGCTGTGCAATGTAAACAAAGCTTGTAAAACCATCTAATTGAGCCGAATTATAGAACATATCCAACTGACTCGTGAAACATCCCAACTTTTGTTATATTAATTATATTTTTGAACTTAAAAGCAAAAAAGTGTTAAATATGCAGATTTTCCAATGGAGTTTGGTGACCACACAGCAGACAGGGGAAAGGGGGGAATTGTGCATTACCTGAATAGTATCCTGAGGATGTTAGCCACCAGAAGGACCAGGCACACATATGTGGAGAAGCCCTCAGCGTTTTGGGTCCGGCGGATGTCTCTGTATTGCGGGATGTAGGGCACCAATCCCCCGAAAACCATGGCACCAGCAGCCACCCAAGTTACCAGGCTGTGGAACACGGCCACAATCTGATTAAACATCTCATCCTCCATCTTCAGATGACTCCCAGAAGGTGTGCAGTGACGCCACCCGGCTTAATTGACACTCGTATTGTGATTTAATGGAGCAAGAAGAGGATATCCGTGTTTATCGTTCATAATCACATGCACAGACAAACAGTATGTTTTACTGCCACGACATCACAAGCAAGGCAGATAATTGGAAAGCAGCCTGGAGCTAAAACATCAAGAGATGAAATCACAAATATGTGTTAAAGTGCAGTGCAAAGAGAAAAACACTACAAAAAAACAGCGCTGGTTTTTGCAGCTGGTACTATCCAATGTGTCTAATTCAAGACTTTTGTGCCTTTAGATTGCGTTGTTTTGATGCAGCTTCACTAAACTCTGAAGAATAGACTCCCAAGGTTCCTGAAAATGTCATGAAAAAATATAATGTTCTGCATTAAAGGCTCCTTTTTGCAATAGTTTCCTCAGTGACTGGCCCAGTGTGTTTCTTTTGATGAGAGCCCACACTTCCTGAAACGTAATGTGTTTAGTCAAAGATATTGGACTACGTCAAGATAGTTCTCTCTTTGATCATACACGGTTTGCAGTGACAAAAAGGCTTCTTTAATTTTAAATGAATATCATGTTTAAAGTTAATAAAAAATGATCCGTCAAATTGTACTAAACTGTTTTGTTATCGAAAAATAACTGCGATACCAATGATTTAGACAGTTGGATTAGCCCCGTTTGTTACTTCAGAAAACGTCACGGGTTATAACAAAGATATTCAACTCAACCAAGATAGTTCACATCCTACCAGAAACGATGTGTTTTACCGCCTGACGCTAAATTACCTCAGGTTTCTGATCAAAAATCAAAACAAATTCTTCAAAAGGTTCTTATTGCTATTCGTTTCTCACTGACTGGCCCATAGTATTATTATTATTTGTATTACAGCCCACACTTATGGAAACGTAACGCGTCATGCTTTACGACAAAGATTTTCGACTGAATCAAGATAGTTAGCATCCTACCGGAAACTCAGCCAAGATAGTTCACAGTCTAACACTAGCGCTTTGTTGTACTACCCCAAACTAAATTGTTTGGGTTTCACGTGTCTTGAAACTTGAACTATAATATATATTTGATTTTCAAAGTGTCTCAGTGTCACTGACTGACCCAGTTCGTTGTTTTTATCAGGGCCCACACTTCTTTTAAACGTGATGCGTTTAGTCAAAGATATTGGACTACGTCAAGATGGTGCTTACACTTCCAGTACCGTAATATGTTGTGCGTTACGACAAAAATGTTTAACTCGATCAAGAAAATTAACTCGATAAAGAAAATTCACATCCTCAGAATCCGTTTTCATTACATTTCATCAGAAATGTACAGAAATGTAATGTAAAATATTAAATATTATATTAAAGTTTCTCTATTATACTTTTCTTCTCTATTGCCATTGTTTCCTAACTGACTTAACCCATGATTTTTTTTAGAGCCCACACTTTCTGACACGTCACGCGTTTGATCAAAGATCAAAGATATTGGACTACGTCAAGATAGTTCACGCTTTGATTGTATAGGATTTTCAGTGATAATATGCCGAAAAGAGATACTACAGACA